CTTGATCTTCTGTATGAAGATTATTACTCCTTTTGTCTCGTTTTACGTGTCGGGGCTTGACTGAACTTATTTTTATTTCAATTTTTCATAATACTAAGTTTAGTATTAGTATACAAAAATTTATATATTTAGAAACTACTGGCTCTATAACAATGTACTAAAACACAAAGAACCTATAACGCCTCCACTAAGGCTCAAACTCATAACCTTCCAAATGAAAGTCCAACTCAAGTACAATTAGACCACATAGTCTTGGTTAGAAACTATATTAAAAGTACTATTAAACACAAAAATCAAATTGCTGACTTGTTAAATTCCAGACTCTGCGTACTTGCCTTATGCGGAAAGTGTGCCAATTGCTGACTAGAGTGATTGCCATAAAAAGGGATTAGGAAAAATACAAAATAGGATTTAGGCATTACTGCATTAGCGTTGCGTACAATCATCATTATGTGGACCATATTTTGTATATTATAAAATAATGTACATTAAGTACACAAATAATGTACTTTTAATATATTAAAAATGTACTTTATATTCAGGAAAAGTACACTATTTAAATACTAAAAATACATTACTTTATATAATATATATTCAGCACACAAATAATGTATACTTTTAATATATTAAAAATGTACTTTCTTTTATATAATTTATGATATATATATATACAATTTATGTACGTATGGTGTGTGTGTGTGTGTGTGTGTGTATATATATATATATACACAGAGAGAGAGAGAGAGAGAGAGAGAGAGAAAGGTTCAAGTGCGGCAGTGGCTTTAGGTGCGGCGGTGCGATTAATTGTAGGCCATTAGATTAGATAAATCCAACGAATCACATTCATCCAGACTTTTCCGATATTTTCGCGACGTTCTCACACTACGCGAACTGCAAGGTTAAAGTCGTCATTGGGCACCTGAATAGATCAAATCATAGTGTTGTGTGTTTTATGTTCGTTATTGGTGCATTATTAATCATACTGTGGTGTATTTGAGGATTCGTGTTGGTGCCAAGTTCAGGTGCGCCCGCGCCTTCCCATGCGGTCAGTGCGGGTGCACTAATAGTTATACAAATATATACCATCCATGTTAGAAAATGCACACCAAAAAAACATGCACAAATTAGATATGCATCACCAGAACGCACCATTAGGTATGAATAAAAACATCACACAGTGTTCAGAAATACACCATTGAGGTGGTGAGTTATATGGTGTATTTTTTGGGTGTGTTGTGTGTTTTTGGTATATTTGTGCATTTCATTGTGGTGCTTTTTCCTAACACTATTGGTATCTTTTGTTAACACTGTTGGTGTATTCTGACAAGCGACCGATATAAATGACCACTACAATTATCATAACACCCTCCATTTATCAGGACGCGCTTAAATCTTTAAATCTTCAGAAATTAGCCGTTGCCGTTAGATTAAGCAAAATGGACGATGCTGATATAGCCGCACCGCCACACTTAAAGCCACTGCCGCATTTGAGCGCTAATATATATATATATATATATATATATATATATATATATATATATATATATATATATAATTTTTTTAAAATAATTAGGACCCAAATTTTTGGGGCCCAATTATATAAATAAAGTTATATATATACTATACAGCATTACAGCAGCAGGCTGCTATATATATATATATATATATATATATATATAATTATTAATTGGAGGCCCTGTGCAATGTCCTGGGCAAACATGCCCAGGGTCGGTCCTTTCCTCAACTCTAAGGGTCCCTCACATCCCGATCCGACAAAGCATCTGAGACTCTTTTCGTTTTCACTTGTCCGACCATGAATGAAATCCCAAAACAATATACAAGCTTGATAAACTAAATTCTAACTTATCTAATACAATAAATAGAAGAAAACATCCAAAAGTTGTAAATAAACAAAACAAAACAAAACAAAAAGGGTTATTACCATCTAAGATCCTCTGAGTATAATGGTTTTGCCACGTTTAGTCTTAAACATTCAAATTGACCATTTGTGGTCCTTCGACTTTCAAATTTAACCATTCGTGGTTCAAGTTAACCACTCATGGTTCTCCAACTTTGAAGGGGGCCACGAGTGGTTAAATTTTGAAAGTTGAATGACCACTTGGACCACAAATGGTTAAATTTGAAAGTCGAAGGACCACAAATGTTCAATTTGAAAATTTATGACTAAACGTGGCAAAACCACTACATTCGGAGGACCCCATTTGGCATTAACTCAAAAAAAAATTAAAAATTAAAAAACAAAAAAAAAAAAAAAAAACTTAATTGGATATGTTTCAATAAAGCACTTACCATTGTGGTAAAAGGAAAGGTATATAGCTAGTAGCGAAGATGCAACTTTATTTTCTTATATCGCACTACATTTTCAAAAGGGTGTTGGACTTGCCCCTTCAGACCTCCGTCCAACAATCCTCCTAATCACCTGGCGGTGGACTTGGTAGTGTACCGGCCTCTTGTCAATAGGATGTTTCTAATCTAATCTCTTCATTTTGAGTTTAATTTGAAAAAAAAAAAAAAAAAAAAAAAAAAAAAAAAAAAAAAAACTCTCGGGTTTTGATATTGAAAAATTAATAACTTTTAGTCTCAAATTAATTTTGTGAACTGTAGTGAGTACTACAGTACATGTGTGCAATTTGTTTGCGTCATGAACTATTATAATGAAAATGATCACATTAGCTTACTACATGAACTACTATTCATATCTCTACATTTATTTTCTTTGCCCAGGCAAAAGGGTGTCTGCCCGAGAGAGGTTGGGATCACAACTAAGGGTTGAGGGGTCATTAAGGAAGAATACAAGTATTTATAAAATAATGTATTTTTTATTTATGGTCCATGCAACTATGTAGATAATGATCCATAAAATAATGATACTCAAGAAAGAATATAAGCATTGCATAAGCTATTCAACTGGACAACAACATTTCCGATGAATTCGGGCAATATCTATATCTTTCTCTTTTTGTTCTATTTTTAATATTTGTGAGAAGATTGCTATAATAAAATTGTTAATTGAGTTGAGCTACAAGATAATAATGAAAAGAAAATATTGAATATATATAGGGAGTGTTTAGTAAATAGTTGTTAGCTAATTGGGTTAGTGAGTTTGATTAGTTGATAGCATTAGTTAATTGTATAAAAGTGTTTTGTAAATTAGCTAATAGCTAATACATGCAAAATGAGTTAATGACTTTCACAAGAAGCTGATCGAAAAAATAATTTTGAGCAGCTTTTTGAATTTTAACATTTGAGAGCAACAAGTTTTTACAAAAAGCTAATTAATCAAAGATTCACATGAATTATTTAACCAATTCAAATCATAATAGTGATCAAATAAGTTAAAATTAGCTTATAAGCTAACTATGTTACCAAAGATGAGTCATAATATCTCTCATTCTCTTGTTGTCATTTGCTTTATAACCGTGAGAAAGACAACTATAATATAATTTTAACTTTAGACGTCTCTCCAGTACTGATTTTTTTGTGGGTTTTGGGGTTAGGCACTTAGGGTAGGGAAGAGAGGATATGTTGCAAACTTGCAATAATGTGAATTTTTCTAACTCTGTGAGTCCTACAAGACTAAGACCCAAAAAAAAAAAAAAAAAAAAAAAAAGAGCAATGCTGGTGAGCGTTTCACGCACCAGTAACATTCAGTGGGCGTGTTATGTTGAAGGTAATCGCCAATTGACAACCACCCTACTTTTTCCTTTATTTTTTTATTTTTTTATTTTTTTATTTTGTTATTGTTTTGATAAAAAAAAAAAGCATTTCTCAATTGTTGGGGTTGCTCTAATAAGTAGGCCCGCAAATAAAAAATAAAAAAAAATCACAACGGTTTAGTAAAATGGTCAATTGTTATACCATGGACCATGGGTTCATATTACATTGTGAACCCTGATCCAAAAATGATGGGTCTGCAATTCACACATTCTTTACCTGCAACTAACAATTTTGGTAAATTGTTAACTGTAAGTACAGAATATGCATCTTATGTATTTACAGTAAACTGCATGTATAGAATGTATCAAATGCAAATACAGAATCTAAATGTTATTTTTGTACTAGGATCCGCAATGCAAGGTGTCTTGGTCCATAGTATAATTTGCCCACAATGGTGTTAGCTATTAGGAAGTAAGCTTCAAGTTTCAATTATTGTATTTGGGATCTCTCTTTTTTTTTTTTTAAAGTGCATTATAGTGGTGAGGCCAAGCTTCCCACATTATACTAGCTTTCATACTACTAATTATAATTACATTGTGACAAATCCAGGCATGTCTGTAAGGATCATTTAAATACAGAGGAGGTAGCTGCTTGGAAAAGAATAAGTTGGTTGAAACCACAGCCTGGTTTTGTAAAAATAAATGTTGATGGATCTGTCCATCCTGATTCTGCTCAAAGTCGGCTGTGGAGGAATCATTCGGGATGACACCGGTACGTGGAAGCAAGGTTTCATTTACAATGCTGGAAGGTGCTCTCCCTCAGAAGCGGAAGCCTGGGTTCTCCTTAAAGGTATACAATTGGCTCAATACATGGGGTTTAGCAAAGTGATATTCAAAACTGATGCTTGCGAGATAGCCAGCTTTGTGAACGGTTCATTTCCGCCTACCTCAGTGACCCATAATATTTTACAGGCTTGGAGAAAAGAGATGCGTTGTTTCGAAACTTGGCAAATAACAGCAGTCTACCGTGAACAGAATTACTTGGCTGACTCCCTTGCTAAGTTAGCTATTACCCCAAAGGCATGCATGTCTTCGCTTCTCCTCCAGATGATCTACTTTGTTTGTTAGAAGATGACAGGAATGGTTGCCCAATGTGGCGTTTTGTAAAATCTACTGTCTAACTACACGTTGTTGTATTATTATTAACTAATTATAAAATAAAATAAAAACTCAAAGGAAATAAAGGATGGAAGATTGAAATGAGTACAGCCTAATTAATTAGCCAAAATCTGAAAGAGAGAATATTGTGCAGAAAACATCATATTTGATATCATTGTATCATCAAATTGCAGCTCGAAATCTCAAACATAAAAAACATTGGCAGTCAAAGTATAAAAACCATACATCAATTATGTAAATCACTAGTAATCTAAAATAGCATATAATTTCAGTAGAAACAACCAAAAATTGCAAAACCTGAGTATTCAATAATTCTGCAGTGTGTATTAGCCTATTCCTACTTTGAACGCAAGCCCGGAATATTTCTTAGCCCCATCTTACCAATGACGAGTTTAGCAATTGCTGGAGGGTTGTCAAGCCCCATGCTCCGACTAAACTCGTTTGCAAGCTCCACAAGTCTGCACTTATCCCTGCCCACAGTCTTGTTGGAATTATAATAGCCGAGCCATGCCTGGTATGCAGCCTCTTTGTTTTTCATCTCAACGTGGGAGAGTGCACGCTCCACCTTTGTCTTTGTCTCTGGATCGACCAAAGGTACATCTGCCTTTGTCATTGGTAAATCTTTGATTGTGGACAAGAAGAATTCCTCCCAAGGAGCCAACACCAATATTCCTTGTCCCTCTTTACCTTTTCGCCCAGTTCGACCAAGTCGATGGATATATTGCTGCCTATCAGATGGCAGGCCAATCTGTATAACAAGGGTAACATCGGGATAATCTACTCCCCGGGCAGACACATCAGACGTTACAAGAATAAGACCTTTGGATTTACGAAATTCGTCTGAAACTCTGGCTCTGTAATTTTGTGGTTTTCGAGAATGGATCTCCCGAACATTCAAGTTAAGCTCACCAAGAAGTCCTGCAACGAGTCTAGTCACCATCGCGGTCGTGCAAAAGACAAGAACCTTATAATTGACATCATCTGCTATATGATCCCTCAGCATGGAATAAAGAAGTGAAAAGTGTTTGTCTAAAGGGGCAACCAGGTACTTCTGTTGGACCTGTGAATGTGTCTCTTCACTGCCCTCCTCAACTGTATTGATAAACTCGTGATCTCTTTTCAAAGCAACATGGCAAATTTGACGGACCTCTGGTGGAATTGTGGCAGAAAAAAGAAGTGTCTGGCGCTGCTTAGGAATAGCAGCAATGATTCTCTCGATGTCTCTACGGAAACCCATATCCAACAAATGATCAGCTTCATCAAGCACCAAAACTTTAACCCCCATCAATCGAGTTGCAAAACCCGCTGTATTCTCAATATGATCTTTAAGCCTTCCAGGTGTAGCCACGAGAATCTGGCATGGATTTGCTTGCATCCTTTTCTGCTCCAATGCAAGCCTTGTACCCCCTATAACAACTTGAACGCCAATTGTGGGGTGGTACTTCAACAGATTGTTACCCTCTGCAGCCGCTTGACTTGCAAGTTCTCGAGTTGGGCATACCACAAGCACAAGAATTGGTGGTCGCTTTTGGTCACGAGTAACGGGAGGGGATTTCAAAACAATTTCAATTGAAGGGAGCAAAAATGCTACAGTTTTGCCAGTGCCAGTTTTTGCTTTGGCCAAAACATCCTTGCCTTTCAGAATAACAGGAAAGGTTGCCTCCTGAACAAGAGTCATCTTCTCATATCCAATATCTTTGATTCCTTTTAGCGACAAAGGAGAGAGGGAAAATTTATCAAACCTTGTTTCACTAAGGTATGAGTCACCTCCCACCAGTGAACTTGGAGGTGAGGGTTGTGAACGAATTTCATTTCCCACAGAAGACAGAACAGTCTCTTTCTCAAAGGAATCATCACCACTAGCTTCTTCACTCTCTTCCTCACTATCTATCAAATCTTCTTCAGTCTCTTCCTCACTATCTATCAAATCTTCTTCAGTCTCTTCCTCACTATCTATCAAATCACTGAACCGCTTATATCCATTATCCTCCACGTCCTTGTCATCTTCATCATCATCTTCGCTTAACACAGCCAGAGATTTTCCACGTATCTCCCTTCCACCTTTCTTGGCAATACCACCACCACTTCCTCTCTTCTCCTTACAATATCCCGAGGCAATCTCTTCCGCACCTCTCTTTTGCCCTCTTCTACCTTCACCCTCAGACCTTCCTCCTCTCCTTGAAAAGGTATTCACTTTATCATGCCCCTCATTTCGCCTATCAGATCTACCTTCACTCCCAAATCTCCCTTCTTTCCTAGCAAAGGGTTGCATTTTATCACGCCCCTCATTTCGCCTATCAGATCTACCTTCACTCCCAAATCTCCCTTCTTTCCTAGAACCTTCACTCCCAAATCTCCCTCCTTTCCTAGAGGATGGAGGCATTTGATTCTGGCCAACATCTTGCCTATTAGACCTACGTAAATCATCAAAACCACTCTCCTTCCCCCTCCTTCCACCTCTCTCATCTCTCCCACTACCCCCACTAGCTTTCCCACCACTCTCATCATCACTATCGCTATAAACCCGAGTTTTCAAATACGAGTCAGACCTCAACCCGCTTACCCAATCACTGAGGTCAGCTTCATCATCAATCAAACTCTTCTGCGCCTGAACCTCATGGCCCGAGCCCGACCTCCCCCGGGAGACCCCTCCTCGCCCAGCCCGGGCCGAGAATTTCCGAGAACCAAACTGGCCTTCTAACATTGGCAGCTCCAGCGCAACCCTGAAAGGCCGGTACCTGAGCTTGTACGGGAAGACCCGAGACAAAATGGGTATGGCCCGAGAAGGTCTCGAAAGCGGGATGGACTTCATTACGGAAGAGGCGGTAATGGGTATATAAGAATTGAGAAGGCAGAGCTGTGGAAAGAGCTTGACAGGCATGGGGACTGTCAAAATTCGGAAATTTAAGAAAGTTTTACCGAATTTTTCTATATATAGCGGCGGCGAGGCAGGTAGGGTTTAGGGTTTAAGCCCTGATAATAACCAAAATAAATAAATAAATAAATAAAACGGAGTATTGGTTAAATTAAACGGAAATGATAAGATAATGAGTTGCAGAGCGCACCTTGAGACGTGAAAGGCGGCGGTGGGCAGAGCAGAGGAGACGGCGGAGTGGAGTGTGGAGTGGCGGGAGTGATTCAACAATGAAGATAACCTACTTCACTCAATGTCTCAATGGTCTCAAATTCAAATTTTATCCAAGAATATAGTATATCCTGTATTTAAAAAAAAAAAAAAAAAATCACACTTTTTTCTTCTTTCTTCTTCTTCTTCTTCTTCTTCAAAAAAAAATCACACTTTTAACCTTCGGGTAAAACTAACTCAATCTTTTATGGGGTGTTTGGTTGGGAGGAATGAATTAGAAAAGAAATGAATTGTAATTCGATGGAAAAAGAATAAGGTAGGAATTCAAATTATATTGTTTGGTATGAAAGAATAGAAATATTGAGAATGATAAGTAAAAAAGTGGTATAAAGACTAAAATGTCCTTGTGTAATAAGAAAAATAACAATTATCAAAGGTATTTTTGTCATTTCATCTATTTTTTCTTTCCCAAAAGCATTGAATTGCAATTCATGGGGGAACCCCATGAATTACAATTCCCTCCAACCAAACACTGTAATTTATCTTGCAATGGAATAAAGTAAGAAAAGAATTACAACTACCTCCGTGATCCAACCAAACACCCCATTTAATTGTTAGTGTTTTCATTTATTTCTCATACTCTGCGCAAGAGGTATCTAGACTTTAAATCAAATGGTATACCATTTGAGCTAACTCTGCGGGATCTGTTATTTCACTTTTTATCATTAGGTTAAGGGCATCCACAATAATGAATTTGGTATTTGTAGGTTTTGATGCACATGTAGAGGAAAGAGAGTGAGGAGAGAAGACTAGGAGTTTTAGGATGAGGACCTGATTTTTATTTGCACAGTGAACCTCACCAAAGTTGAAAAGGCTTATGTGTTTGTCAGGTGGAGCGCACTAAAAACGCCTAGCTGGGCGAGTGCACTCCACGCTAGGCGCATAATTTCCTTTGCTGTTTTTTTTTCTTCTGTTCATTCTCTCTCTCATGTTATCTTTCTTAGTCACACATACAAAAACTGCTCAAGACATCCAAAAAAAAGTTATTTTTTCTTGATTTTTGCAGGTTTTTTGCCCACATGGAAGAGAGAGAGAGAGTGGGTTCTCCACTTCTCCCTGCAAAGACCAAGGTTTTTTCAAATTTGTGAGTCCCACCAAAAGAGAAAGAAGCAACCTCCGAACGCATGAGGCGCACAAAAGGCGCCCAGCCTGGCACGTGCACGTCACACGCTAGGCTGAGCGCGTAAATATAATATATAATTTTTTTTTTTTTGTGTTGTTTTAGACCTCCTTTTTTTCTCACATTTTCCTCTCTCCTCTCTCCTATTTGGCACCTCAAAAATCGATCTACAAAACCTCACTATTGAGGATGCCCTCAAAATCTCTGCCTATTGAGGATGCTCTAATATCAAAGTCGGAAAAGTAAAATTTCTTGTCCTTTGAAGGATATGTAGTGTAACAATATCCTTAGATTTCGACTATAGGTCTAATTTTTAAAATTTCAATACTAGATAAATTTTGCATTGTGAGCGGACCGACTCAAAGTCTCAAACCAAGGAGCCCACTAAGCCGCTGTCACTGTGAGTCGAACTTGAAAGATTATAATTACTAAGCTAACAGTCCAAACAACTTGACTGAAATTGCCGCAAATCGATTTCTTGTTATTGAAGGATAGGGGAATGTGAAAGGAAATGCAGTGCAAATGTTGTTTAGCTTTAAGAATACTACATTGAATCTTGTAATGTGGGCAAACATGACATCAAGACAAGTTCCATAAACATTAAAATGAATGTCTCTAATCCGTTTCCTAAAATGAACCAATAAACTAGACTAGGACATAGAGGATCTTTCTAACACTACATATCGGATCATTCTGCCATAAGAATCTGTTTTCGAGAAGCAGAACTGCCATCCATGAAGAACGACGACATCTCTTCTGTGAGCTCATATGTCTGATCTCGAGAGAATTGAGAAGAAACTACCCTAGTACTCAACCGCCATCAAAGCAAATTCAGTTTCCCGGTTATAGAATCCACCGCTGCTTTACTTCCTGCTCATTTTTTAGATTCGACAAAACAAACCAACAATGTAAAACTCTGAAGGCACAATATCATCAACTTGCAAATCCTCAGGAACATGGAAAACAACGAACCAAGAGTTTAAGTAGATGATGTTTTAGAAGTACGACACCTTATGGGAACAAAACGATAGAATTGAAAGATAACACCGAAAAGTGCATATTATATCATGTAAAGCCTTAGCCAATGATGTATAAGTTTATCAATATGCAATCAACCGAAGTTAGTATCATTGAAACTTCCAATTAGATTACAGAAGAATCAGTTCAAAACTTAGTCGAGAAGCATACCAGGCCCCACAGCAAGAACTGTTTTCGAACCAGAAGCAACCTGTGTCAAACAAATAAACAATACCCAAGAATAGTTAAGGACACAAACAGTATATTTCAACATAGATAGCTTGCAGAAGAGAAGTCTGTCCAAGGCCTCTAAGTACAAAATGTGTGAAAATTTACGAATAAGATTGAAAATGCTTTTTTACAAGCAATCCAGTTATTAAGGTTAGACGCAGGGTGCAAGGAACCACATCACTCTTGTTGTTACGATGTTATTTCTAGGATTTAAATCCATTAATTACCGATTTTATACATCATTTGGCACCATAAACATAATTTACTATAACTTGCAAAGAAATTATACTTTTTTGTCAGTTTCACAGATTTGGTCATGAAAATACCTGTGTACGTCCCGCATCTGCAACCACAAAAGTTGGGAGGCCTATGCTGTCAGCTGCTTCCTTCAAGTTGTTCCTGTACAACGTTTCGTTTTTTAATTCTTCTATATCATGTGCACAGGGCAAACTCTACGGTGAAGGATGCTTTATAGTAATGCGTTCAATTTATAAGGCATGTTACCGTATAGGTATAGAAAACGCTTACATTTCTTGCTGATTCTTGCAGGTAACAACTATTTTGGGCTGTCCACAAAGCTCCCACTGCCTCAACAGAGACCTATCACTGCATCAGACAGTTCATCCCAATATGTTGTTTGTCGTATAAAACAGTAATTAAAATAAGTCAAAGTAAAACTAATAAAGAGACAATACCCATGGACGAACTCTCATTGCAGAATAAAACATATCAAAAAAGGCAGGATATCAGGGGCAACCCCAACCAAGTTGGTCATTGACTTAATAACCAAGGTTACAAGTTCGACTCCCAACGGGAGCAGCCTATTGGCCTTCTTGATTCGAGCCGATCAGCTATGGACAACCTAGGTCGGTTTACCACTTTACCTCCTTGTGGTCCTTTGCTGGCTAGGGTCTGTCCAAGTGCAATTAAGGCCTCCTAATTTATGTTTCTTATAGTTTTAGGGTGAAAATCACACGGTAATAATTTTAATGTGTTTCCTCTCAAAGTCTTAGAAATGACACAACGGATATTGACAATTTTACCTGGACATTAGCTCTGAATACATGCCAGTCGCAGCATCTGCATATGTTATTTTTTGTGAGCACTGAGTAGTCAAGAAGATCAAAATGACCAAGGGGATATCAAATAAAACATCATCTGCAAGGCACATGGAAATTCTAAAACTATAAACACCAAAGATTTCTTACGTGCACATTGGGATGCAATTTTTCCTTGCCCCATCTTCAAGTCCCGCCTTACCACCAAAACCTGTCATTGAGCTTCTTAAAGTTAGAAACAGATAAACTAGAGCAATATACAGAACATCTTTGAAAATAAACAAAAATCCAGTTACATATTACATCATCAACTATAGTTCCAAAAATGTACTACCATCATGATGGAGATTGTTGAGCCACGGCTCTTGCAAATTCTAAGAATTTTCATTTAACTTATTGTTCACAAAATTTGTGAAGTCACCAACCAACTTCGTCTAAGGTTGCTATTGATAAACCCCCCACCCCCCAACTCCCCCTTCCCCCAAATCCTCCTCAAAGTTACAAACTTTAGCAAGTATAGAAAAAATTCCAAGAATTGTCATTTAACTTATCGTTCACAAAATTTGTGAAGTCACCAACCAACTTCGTCTAAGGTTGCTATTGATGAAAAATACCCCCCCCCCCCCCCCCCCTTCCCCAAATCCTCCTCAAAGTTACAAACTTTAGCAAGTATAGCAATGGAAAGTGGGACAACCCAGCAAGTTACAAGTTCGAATCCCAACAGCGGCTTGTTGGCCTTCTTGGTTTAAGCCTGGGCAATTTAGGTTAGACCTCCACATGGTCCTTTGCCAGCTAGGGTCATAGGATCATAGGATCGGATTTATCTTGTGCACACCCTATTGGCTACGGTTTCAGAAAGTAAATGAAACTATGGCCATCCAACTGATCAAAATTCCAGACAATTCCAAAACATAATTTGCTGGCAAGTTGCAACACAGGGATGAAAATCATCAGTAAGGAAAACAGGGCAAGAAAGCACAAAGAACTGTAAAACGCTATTAAAAACCCAAGAAAAGATACCATTTTGAGCTCGTCATCAGAGCTAGCTGCTCCAGGGGACATTATCTTCTCCTGTTGGTATTTGGACAACAAGCGACTCTTCCTAGTTAGAGAGCTGCTGGTGCTTTTGTTATTGCTGGGGGTGGGTGGCTTCGACCAATCCAATAACAGTCCAAGAATGAACCCAATTACTACCCCGGGTATAAAGTTCTCTGGCTTGAAACTCGCTCCTACCCATTCTTTCTGCTCTTTCGGCTGAAAATTTTAAGGGTAAAGTTTTGAAAATCAATAAACGGGCGAATAAAAACTGAATGAGAAAATAGAGTAAAAAATATATGGAATTGGAAAAAGAAAAAAAAAAAATGGATTTTTTATCACCTTCTTTGAAGTTTGAGAATAACGCTGCATTGGGTTTCTGGTAGAAGAAGAACTACCTGCTTATGATAGGGGCCTCAAAGTTTCAGCGGTGGAGCTGCAGTTACATTAGAGTGGCACCATCCGACTGATACGCTGTCGTTCATAATTCAAATAGTTGGTTTTATAATTTTAAGTTTTTTTTTTTTTTTTTTTGTTATTTTCTATTAACTTAGGTGTTTCTAGTTTTATCGAACTAATCATAATCTCACAAGACTCCGTTCTTAAAATCATTGATAAATCGTAAGTTGCACAATTAGTTCACCCATCACATCATAGTCTGTATGTGAGCACAAAGAATTCAATCCATACCTTCTGCTCTCCAACATCTTTAAGCTTTTTTCTCATACATGTTTTCAATTGAATTCGAACGGTCACATTACCGCTATGATGTTTAAGTCAAGCAACAAATCAACTACACTAAATCTCTTAGAAGCTCATAGCCACTATTTAATAGTGTGAAATGAATAAAATGTATATATATATATATATATATATATATTATTGAGGACATTATAGTAATTGATCCATATAACTCAAAATATAACCTTTAACCAAACAAGGTAATATTATATTCCACAATTCAAACCAAACACAAGGTAATCTTACATTTTCAAAATCTCATATTACCTTCCAAGAGGTAATCCTATTACTTGGGGTAATCCAAGATCCCGTGAACCAAACGCCCCCTAATAAGTATCAAGTGTGGGGATTATGTCCAAACTGAGCAGATTTCTTGTGCGCACCAACATTTGACCTTGTTTATTGAGTCATTGAGACTGTGATTTACATAATCTCAAATGCTCTGTCGGACCAGGGTATGAGAAGCTTTTGGGGTTGGGGATTCAACTTTTAGGGAGAAGGAATAAAAATACGCGATTTCAAATTTTGAGAAATTGGTGGGGCAAACCGCCTACGGCTGTTTGTATTGGATAGATTTCAAAAAAATATGCGATTTCAACAAAAAAAAAATTGTCCAAAACGAATAACCGGGTCAAAAGTTATGTGTAACAACTCAAAATTTAATTTCATAAATCCAATTTTAAGAAATTTCAAAATAGTCATTTTCACTCCATTAAAAATTTGTGCGATCGTTTGGTGTTTAAATAAATTATTTTGAACACATTTTAAATTAATTCAACACCAAAACTTATTTTTAATCAAAAATCCTAAATTTTTGGGTAATTCGCGTACCAAGTTTTAAATTGAGAAAATCAATCTGAGTGAGACCGAGAGAATTCTAAGAAGCCTTAAACAAGTGTTCATCTAGAGAACTCTTTGAGAAAATTCCTTTTTAACCCCAAAGTATTTTAAATAGCAATTCTAGCCCTTGGTCCATGGAGCATGGTGGACCACTAGACATCCAAAATTCCTTTCCTGATTTATCTTCTAGCCTATAGAAATTACATTTTTGCCATCAACTAATCATATGGGATCAACCTAGGGTTTTGTGCTCCTATAAATAGAACCCTTATCAGCCATTTGCCTCTTTGATTCCACTCACTACAAGAAATTTCACATTTAGTGACAACAGAAGTTGTCACTGAAACTATCAATTTTGGTCACTATTGAAATTAGTGACCATTTTTTGAAGTCGTCACCTGTCGTCACTATATCCTCCGTCACTATTGTAGTATTGACGACTTTTGAAAAGTTGTCACAATTACTCACTACTTTGTGACAATATTTACTTTCACTACACGTAGTATTTGAGTGATAATGATGGGTTGTCACAATAAATGTATACTTTGTGACCAAATATGTTATTACAAAATATTGTTCTAGTGACAACTAAAATCGTGGCAATTAATTATTTTATTCTGACAACACTTTAGTCACAATAGTTGTACTTATTTGTGAGAATTGTTCTTGACGCAAAAACGATTATTAGTGACCAAAAAAGTTGTATCAATAATTACTTTGTTGTGAGAACAATCATGGTAACAAATGTTGTATTTATTTGTGACAATAGAAGTTGACTCTAAAACACTCATTAGTGGTAACTAAAGTCATACAACAATTCAATTTCTTGTAACCATCATCTTCGTCACTAATATCTTTGAAAATAGTGGCAGCGTATTTGTCACTAAAATACTGAAAATTAGTTGCGAAATTTGTGTCACTAAAATTAGTTGAAGTCACTATTGTCAATCTTAATGTTTTTATAAGTGACCATTACTTGGTCACAATTATTTTTCCAAATAATACTAGCCAAATGCACAAAATATAAAATTATTTATTTTAAAATCTTGTCATAATTAAATATTTTAGTTTAATTATTATTTGGAATAAAATAATGCATGCATTCAACAAATGTTACTCGTTAAATTAAAAAACATATATATAAAAAAGACATCATTGTCTAACAAATATACTTTGTAAGAAATACAACTGAATTCAAATAAAAACGTTTAAAAATAAAATGTCTTGATTATTCTTCACTTGAGGTAGTTGATGGAGATGCATTGCTTAGGATATTTTGAAGTCCTTGATTGCTTGCTAAGTGAGCAAAAATTTGTTTGATTTCAGCTGCTTGTTTCTCTAAAGCTGTTTGTGCGATTTCTTTAAATTTTGCAACTTCTTCTTCTAAATTCTTTTCATGCTTCTTTGAAGCTTCTATTTCTGCTTGAAGAAGAATCTTCTCTTGGGCTTTTGAAGTTATCCCCTTAAGACCTAAACCACGTACATAGCTTGACTTTCTTTTTAATACCAAATCAAAATGCTCAACAAGTGGTAGAGGTGCAGCTGAAATATTTTCTTTATTCTTCTCTCCCTCTTCTTGAAGTTTATTCTACAATTAAGATAAATATTAATAATTGAGTAAACTAATTTAAGAAATGTCACAATATTTATATGACTATAATTTTCATACCATGATTTCTTCTCCATTTGGAACGGACTAAGTTCCATTAGATTTTTTTCTTGATGCCTTCCAAACTTCAACAGCATCTGACCATTCATTAGAATCTTTGTCTTTCTGTAAAATAGAGAATAAAGATAACAAAAAGAAATAATTAACTAGAAATTTTATTCATAAAAAACCATGACATCAATTTTTATTAAAAACAATTTACTTTACCAACTCATATGCAATTTGTACAATTTACTTTGACAACGCATGTTATGACACTATTATTTTAGTAATAGTAACAACTTATTCGCAACAAATACTTACTCGTCACAATTACCATGTTATCTGTGACCAAAAAAAGTTATCACAATTACACCACACAATAGTGGCGAATTATTTTTTTGGTCACAAAAAGGGTATTATTTGTGACTAAATTACGAAGTATCACAAAAGATTCGTCACTAAATGTCATTATTCTTGTAGTGACTCCTTGCTTCCCATATATCAGCTTTGCAATTCAAGAAGACAACACAGTAAGCTTCTTCATCCTTCTTCATTCAATCTTAGTCTTCCATTTACTTAAGCTTCTTTCTTCTCTTAGAACTTGATAGTATGATGATGTATGGTTTGTATGAGGTTTTTAGGAGGTGAAGGAGGGTGTAGCTAGCTTGGGAAGATGGGGAATCCAAGCAAGAAGAAGAAGTCTACAAAGGTATAACCCCATGGACTCCCTCTTTAATCTTTGGCTCTGTGAAGCCTAGTCTTTTGAGTAGAAATGAGTAGAAATGGTAGATTTTTATTGCGTTTGAGCTTGGAAGTGATCTATTACTTGTCCATGATGTGTTGATAATGTTTGGGATGTGTTGGAATTGCTTGGAAGTGAATTGCAGATGAAATGGACCATATGGTGCACAGACAGTGTGCACCAGATGGAAGTAACGGCCCTAGCCAACGGCCCATCTAAGGGGCCGCTGGCTAGTGCCGTGGCCAGCCAGGCCTAGGGCACGACCCTAGGAGAGGGCCGTTGCCTAGGCCCGGCATTGTTACGGCCTTAGGGGGCGGCTCATAAGGAGCCCCGCCCCTGGTCCTTGAGTATGTTCTGTGCAATGGACGGGCCCTTGTGGCACAACTACGTATCGTTTCGGGCCAGGTTTCGCGGGCCCTTGTGGCTCGGTACCTCGGGGCCGTCTCGACGCACGTTTTGGCTTTGATTTCGTTAAATTTGGACTAGAAATGAGCATGTTATGATGGATTTGGTGATGATTTTGAGAAATGATTAGAAAAGCATGTTCACTTTGTATTGAAGTAGCATGTGAATTGACTATTTCTTGTTTTTGACTATTTCTTGTTTTTGACTATTTCTTGTTATTTTGAATTCATTTAAATTATTGTTTTGTTTTTGTACCTAGTCTAGCATCAAACTAGCGTGGAGTTAGTTGTAGCCTGCTCTATTTATTTCGATTTTGTTCATTCTTTGTCCATCATCAGAAATATTCTCAATTAATATTTTTTGCTTCTTCCTTTCTTCCTTTGTCATTTTCTCATTATGGTATCAAAGCCTGTTTAAATTTGTTTCCGCTTTGTTTTTATTTATGGCTGACAATTCTGAGGAACAAGTCCATCCAGTTGTGCCAACCCTTGTTGTCCCTAGGGTTGGGACAAATTTTGATGCGACTAATGTTGGAAGCCCATTCTATCTTCACTCTGGCGAAAGTCCATCTTTAGTTCTTGTTTTTGTCCCTTTAGATGAGACAAATTATCACTCTTAGAGTAGATCAATGAAGATGGCACTACTCTCCAAAAATAAGCTTGGATTCGTTGATGGCTCAATTGTTGCTCCAGAGGTGACGTCACCTGATTTCACGGCATGGCAAAGGGCAAATAATATGATTTTGTCCTGGCTCCTACATTCAGTGATACCTGTAATCTCTCAAAGTGTCTTATGGCTCGACACTGCTAAAGAAGTCTGGGATGACTTAAAAGAGCGATTTTATGAAGGGGACGATTTTCGTGTTGCGGATCTTCTTGAGGAAATTTATAGCATAAAACAAGGGGAATTTTCTGTAAGTGCATATTTTACTAAATTTAAACTATTGTGGGATGAACTTTTGCTTTTAAAGCCATTGCCTACGTGTGCTTGTACACCAAGATGTAGTTGTGGGTGCTTAAATAGAATCAAGGAGGGTCATAAAATGGAACAAGTGACTACTTTTTTAAAAAGGCTTAAATGAAAACTATTTAGGT